GCTCAAAATCATTTTAGCCTCATAAAAAGAATGGAGGAACATAACATATTTCTCTATCTTGGAAACAGTGTGACTTCTTTGTTTTCTTTCTCTGTTTTTCTGTCTCTCTCTTTCAGTCTTTTTCTTTCTGGACCATACCTATGATTTCACTGGCATTGTACATTGAAGCCCACTTTGCAATTTATAGCCTTAGAGTTGCTTGGGAGTGCTGAAAAGTTGAGTGAATTGACCAGGGGCACATGGCTAGTTAGAGGTGAGACAGAGCCTGGGATTTCTTGACTCTAAAGCCAGCTCTTTATCTCTGATGCCATGGCATCTATGGGATTTTATTGTTGTTATTCAGTCTTTTTTTTTTCAGTTGTGTCTAACTCTTCATGACCCCATTTGAGGTTTTCTTGGAAAAGATACTGGAATGATTTGCCATTTCTTTCTCCAGCTCATTTTACAGATGAGGAAACTGAGGCAAACAGGATGAAATGACTTGCCCAGAGTCATACAGCTAGTAAGTGTCTGGGGCCAAAATTGAACTCAGGAAGAGGAGTGTTCTTGACTCCAGGCCCAGCACTGTAACCATCTAGCTGTTCATCTCACGTTCTACAGGAAGGCTTTTCCAATCCCTCTTAATTCTGGTGTCTTCTCTAAGTTGATCATTTGCTAATTATCCTGTATATAATTTGTTTGTACGTAGTGGTTTGCATGTTGTCACCCTCATTAGATTGTGAGCTCCTTGAGGGCAGGGACTGTCTTTTGTCCCTCTTTGTATCTCTGCCTCTTATCACATGCCTGGCACATAATAGTATATGAATGCTTATTCACTAACTAACTGATTATCTTAGATTCATTATGGTCTCTTCTTCTCATTTAACTTGAGTAATTTAATATTTTCTCCTTTTTTGTTTGCTAGTTATTTAGAATTTTTTTTAAAACTGTAATTAGTTTGATTTACTATTTCAATTATAGTTTTTAAAGAGTACAAATTCTAAGTAACCAGCAAACAAAAAAAATATGATCACACCTTTTTAAATTGCTGTCCTTTTAAATTTTCCTAGGATTTCTCTGAAGAATATGATCAATTTTGTGACAATTCAATATGTATTTGAAAAAATGGATATATTCCTTGTTTTTTTTCCATCAGCAATCCTCATATATCTACTCCATTAAGTTTGATTCAACACTTAATGTGCAACTTCTTTCTAATCTATCATTTTGTTTAATTTTTTAAAATATTCTATTAGCAGAATTTTAAAGTCTTATATTGTTATTTTCAATCTGTTTCTTCTTTCAAGACTGAGCTTTTCTTTTATAAATTTAACTGTTATATTGATTGGTGCTTATATGTTCACAATCAATGTGCTCTCATTTTCAATAGTGCCTTAAAGCATGATGGAATTTTTTGTTTATTTTTATGTTTTCTGGGTTTTAATATCAATCTTGTTGTATCACCAAATGCAACTCCACATTTTAAAAATATCTCACTTTAGAATGCTAAAACTATCCATTCTTTCACTTTAAATCTATGTACCTTTTTAGGAATAATTCTTTGACTTTTTTAAACATCAATTTTATTTAATTTTCAATTTTCAATTTATTCTCTTTTCCCAGCCCCTCCCCAACCCATTGAGAAGGCAAGAGATACAAAACCCATTAACAAATATAAAGTCATGTTAAACAAATTTCAGCATTAGCCATGTTAAAAAAAAAGCAAGAAAAAAAGGAAAAAATATGCTTTAATCTGCACTCTAGTTTACCAGCTCTCTATCTATAGGTAAATAGTATTATTCATCATGAGATCTTTGGAATTGAGGTAGGTCATTGTGTTGATCAGAGTTACTAAGTCTTCCATAGTTGATCATTATTTTTTTTTACAATGTTGCTGTTACTATATACATTATTCTGTTGGTTCTGCTCACTTCACTTTACATCAACTAATATAAGACTTCCCAGCTTTGTCTAAAACCCTTCCCTTCATCATTTCTCACAGCACAATAATATTCTATCACATTCACATGCAATAACTTATTCAGTCATTGCCTAATTGGGGGACGTGTGATTCCTTTAAAGAACATACTGTTCAATTCTGGTTTTGATTCTCCTCTGCAACTCTTTTGATGGAGGCAGTTCAATCTTTTAAAATATTATATTAATTGTTGTATCTGACTTCATTCTTTTAATGTTCATTTGTTTGTCAAAACTGGATGTAAACTTTCATATTTTACTAATGGATAGAGTGGTGGCCCTGGATTCAGGAAGAGCTGAGTTAAAATCCGGCTTCAGATATTTTCTAGCTGTGTGACCCTGGGCAAGTCACTTAACCTCTGTTAAGTGCTATATAAATGTTAGCTATTTTTATTTTAAAGCCAAATTCAAAAGAACTAGTTTTCCTATATTTCATATTAGTTTTATGACTTTTCTTTTTTCCTGTTTTTACCTATGATATCCTTTAACTTATTTAATCTTCTTTATATTTTGTTTTTCCTTTCCTTTTTAACATTTTTCTTTCAAGTCCAATTTTACCATTCAGTAAATTAACAAGTAACAATGGTATAGCTTATCCAATAGTAATCACAATAAAAAAAATCTATTATTCTAGGCACTCAGGTCTCCAGGTGTTTCTCTAGTTCAATTCCAAAGGCTCTTTTGAAGTATAGGTTTTTTCCCCTTTTTGAAATCTTTGAGGTCCATCATTTATTTTTGAAAATCATATAGTTTTTCTAGGAAGCTAATTGTGGGATTGAAACCTAACTTTTTTCTTAAATTTTATGTTTTATGTTTCAGCTTTTTTGTTCTTGTAGAAAAATTGTATTTCCTGACTGATGTTTTTATTATTACATTTTTCTTTTTGTTTCTTGAACGAATTTTTTTCTTTATTGTTTTGAAGCTTGTGTATGTATTGGATTTTTGCATTTTTCCTTGTTAGTGCTCTGTGACATTTTGTTAGGAAACTGATTTTTTTAATAGCTTTGGGAATTTGTGGGGCTAGTTTCCTGAAATATAGTGACTGAATTGTTTTCTTGTTACAAATTTTCTGGGAACTCAACAATTCTGAGTTTTTTTCTTCTTTATCTATCCTTAAAATCTATCATTTTCATTTGCATTGTTTCTAATTATTTCCCCAGATGAATTATTTTCTGGGTTTCCCCCCCACTTCAACTATTATTTGCTATTCTATCTTCTATTATGTTAATTCTGTTTTTAATTAGAGCTTTTAATACTTAAAATTCTCTATTATTGTTCACCTTACTAAGTTTTGTCATCATTTCCTCCCAAGATTTTTTTTTTAAATCTCATAGGATCAGCAATCAAGAGCAGAAAGGGGCACTGGAGGCCATTAAGTTGAATCTCCTCATTTTACATGAGGAAACTGACGCACAGAGAAGTTGAGTGACTTCCCTAGGGTCAAGGCTAGTAAGTGCCTTAGGTCTTTGAACTCAGGTCTTCCTAATTCTAAGTCTAGTACTCTGTCCACTTTACCACTTAACTGTTGCCTTTAGTATCTTTCAGGATTTTAAAAAATGCTGAGATGAATTCTTTTTTTAATTTGACTGCTTTTATGTGTCTCATATCCTGGGATTTCTTGAATTGTTTCTAGTGCAACTTCAAATATGATTTTGGTATTTTTCTCCTTGATACTCTAATAATTATTATAATTATCACCATTGTCATCATTGCCATACAGTATAAACTGTATTGTATTGGAACTCTCCTTGGTATGCTTATTATGGTTTTGGTGTGAATTTTAAATTTCTTGTAAGAATTTCTGGCAGGTTTTGGGTTTGAGTTTTTATTGGGGGGGTATTTTTATTGTTAATGTCAGAATATAAGTTTGTTGAGAGCACAGTGCCTGGTATACAGTAGCCTCTTAATAAATATTTTTTGATTGATTATTGAGTATTATCATAAAGTGACATGCTCCTTTTCATCCTATCAGTTCATTTGCTTCCCAGAAGAAAGACACCTTGTATTTTCTTTGCATCTGAATAAAATCTCTTGCACTTAAGCATAGTTAAGCGTTAGAATGGATTACTTATGAGAATTGAAACGTATTTTCTTAGCTGGTCTTCTCATTTGTTGAGATGAAACTCAGTTCAGTCTAGACATCAGGAGTCAGGGCTAGAGTGTGGGAGGATTGACTGGATGACAACTTCTTAAGATTTCCTCTGGTCTCATGATTGCACAAGGAGTACAGGTAATGAGGAAGGAAAGATTAGCAAATACTATGGGATATTAAACACCAAAATCCTTGATAGATGAAGTGGTTCAACATCAGAAACTTATGCAATTTTTTAATGGAAATTACACTTTAAAAAAAAATTCATTATCATCTACCTTTCTGCCAAACCCTAAGGGCCACTAGGGCCTTTCCATCTGATTTACATCTGATACCTCCTATCTGTCTTGTTTCCTCCATTAGAGTGGGCACTCTGGGAGAGCCAAGAGTGGGCTATTGTATTGTTTGTACCTCTAGTACTTAGCACATTGTTTTGCTTATACCGAGTGTTTAATACATGCTTCTTCCCTCATTCAAAATTTCCCATGCTTTCCTACTGGTAGTCCTGATGCGAGTCTTCATGGTTGGTGAAAATATTTGCAGGTCCTGCTATTTTTTTCCAACAAACCTAGGGTAAAGGTAAAGTGAGTAGAATGCTGGACCTGGAGTCAGGAAGACTCATCTTCCTGAGTTCAAATGTGACCTCAGACACTTACTAGCTGTGTGACTGTGGACAAATCACTTCACCGTGTTTGCCTTAGTTTCCTCATCTGTAAAAATGAGCTGGAGAAGGAAATGGCAAACCATTTCAGTGACTTTCTCAAGAAAACCCCAAACAGGGTCACGAAGAGTGCGCCGTGACTGATGATGACTAAACAACAATGAAAATGAAATTGAAGGGTGGGAAGAAAGGGAAATATTTTTCTTGCTTTGTCTTCATCTTTCTTGAGTTCTTGATATTTAGAATCAACCAGAATTTTAATATTGCATTATTATTTCAATTTCATAACAGTTTCAAGTCCTGGGACAAAGATGGTATCAGCGTAATTTTTATCATGAGGTATCATTTAACTTTACTACAAGAGAAAGATTTCCAGAGGTTTGTTTAGAACTGTATCCACGAACTTACTACGCAGTAAATATCACCACCATGGCATTTCCAAAACACTCGGCACACATCATCATAGCAACAACAAGATCAGGTAGGTACTGCCATCTTTCTCTTCTGTATATCTCATGACAGGAAGTTAATTAATATAGGAGAAACCTTAGATGCCACAGAGTCCAACCTCTTCCTTTTTTAGATGAGGAAACTGAAGTTCAGAGAGGTTAATTGGCCCAATGTTACAGAACTAGTAAGTATCTGAGGTGGAATTTGAACCCAGGTTTTCCAGACTTCAAACCCATCTCCTTATCCACTACATAATGCTCATCTCAGCTATGACACAGTCTGGCTGTTTGGTGTTGGGTAAGTCACTTAAACTCTGTAGGCCTCAGTCCTTTCATCTGTAAAATGAAAGGGTTGGAACTCTGTGCCTGCTAAGAGATTTTTTTTTTGCTAAAATTTTATGATTTAGAGAAATTCATACAGAGATAATTTAGAGATAATCTATAATTCATATAAAAAATTATTTGCTTGCTCCCAGATTTACACTTCCTGATGTACCGAGATTCTGAAATGGAGCTCTTAAGGGAAATTAAAATAGGCATCTTGACATGGTTCAAGAGTTATTTTGATAATAAGGAGACACCACAGTTAAATCAGAATTTGACAAAAATATACTTCTGGCACATGTAACTCATGGAAGTGTTGAGGTTTAGATGTTTAGGGGTGCTGGGACCCTGAAATAGCGACATGCAGGTCCTGCCCGAATGAATTCTACCCAAACCTTCTTGCAGCCAAAGACAAGATTTATTAAAGATCTGCCATATTGGCCAGACTCTTAAGAAATCTGAACATTTGTGACACTCACATTGACAAGTGGGCTAGATTGAATCTGAGCCCCTTAATGGAGATGGATATTATATACAGAAAGACTGTGAGAGGGATCTAGGAGTGGTCAAGTAGTCTGAGGTGACTGTGAGATAACTGAGAAGGACCCAAACCACGTGGGAGACTGGGGTCTAGATAGGATCTAGGAGTGGAGGTCTAGGGTGGGGCCAGGTGCAGACATTCAAAGGGGAATGGGAAGGGTTGATGTCTCAGGTGAACACCAGAGACTTGACTGTTGGGGAAATTCAAGGAGAGTTCAAGGAGGGAGTTTCCAGACCCTGTACCCTGTCATTCCCTCCTTAAACAAATGGGACCCAAAATTCTTTTAGGGTAAGGGGCAAAGGTCTCGACTTGGGCCTGTACCCTATCAGAAGTATCTAAAGAAACACCGATGGTTTCTGAGCTAAAGGTAAATCTGAATTTCAGATTGTTTTTCTAGCCAGGAATCATTTGGGGGTTGGGACTGATAGTGGGCAGCTCATGAGGAAATAGAATTTGCTTTAGAATTTAGCCTCCAATTTCACATCTTTGGAGGAGGAGAGCACTTACCCTCATAGGCTTTGATGAAATATTCTTGAGCCCTTGTGAATTTGTCTATCCTTAATCTTTAGTTCCCTAGTCTCAGGATTTATCCACCTTTAGGGCCCAGGGCATTTGATAACAGTTTTAACAGGTCAATGAAGGATTGAGAAGAAATCCATTAAAAATCCAGATCAGTTTTAAATTTCTTATCATGAATAAGGCAAGGACTATATTTGTTTTTGTCTTGGTATCTACAGCATCTGGCAAAATGCACCTAAACATCTTATTGGTGCAAAGCACTGTGCTAGTCATTTTGGGGGAGGTAGGGACAAGAATTGATTATTAATAATAATAATAGCTAACATTTATATAGCATCCATTAGGGGCTTAGTATATGCTTATTGAATGAATGAATACATGAGCACTCCTGCTCTCTGCTGACCTATGTTTACAGATTCATTGAACATCATTCCCCATTCTGAACACCCAATCTGGCCAAATTGGCCTTCTCTCTAGTTCTCAGACGTTCTGTCTCTTGCCTAGGTGCCTCTACAGTGGTGGCCCCCATTCCTGGAGCATTTTCTCTCCTTTCCTCTGCCTCATGGAGTCCTTCTCTTCCTTTAACACAAAGCTCAGGCACCAAAGGCCTGAAGCCTTTCCTTATCTCTTTCAACTGTCAGTGCCCTCTTTCAACCTACCTTGTGTTTAAGTACTGTGCATATATATTTCATTCCCTTTATATTTATGCTGCATTTATGTTTATATGTACTTGTCATCTCTCCCAGTTAGAATGTAAGCTCATTGTGAATAGTAATTGTTTCATTCTTTTTACCTGGGTCCCAAGGGCCTAGCCTAGGCTTATAGTAGGTGCCTTATGTATACTTGTTGATTGATCTCTGAAGAACAATTATAAGAAAAAGTAAACTTAATATCACTCAGAATTTGTCAGAAGAAAGATATTTCTTATAGGTAATTCCTATCATTATAATGATAATGATTATGATAATAATAATAGTAATAACAATAATAACTAACATTTCTATGGTGCCCACTGTGTGATAGGCAGTGCATTTAGTGTTCTGAGTGTTTTACAATTATTATTTCATTTGATCCTGACACTAAACCTGAAAGGTATGTGCTATTATCATCCCCATTTTACAGATGAAGAAACTGAGGCAAACAGAGACGTTAAGTGACATGTCCAGGGTTACACAGCTAGGAAGTTTGAACTCAGATCTTGACTTAATAGCTGGATGAAATAAGATAGCTTAGCACTGTACCTGGTATGTAGTAGGTGCTATATATATATGTTAGCTATTCTTCAATTATTACTATTAAATGTTTATCTTCTCTCCCAAGTGACTAGCATAGTACATTGCATCAATAAGATGTTTAATAAATGCTTATTGAATCAAATAGCATGGGAGAAGGTAGCAATAAGCTTTGTTTTCTTGGTTTCCCCAGGACATAACTAAAGAAAAACAAGATGAGTTTAGGGAAGTCAGTAATATCTGGGGGGATCAAGAAAGACCTCATGTGGAAGGTAAGGCTTGGGCTGAATTTGGAAGGAAACTAGTGACAAAGGAATGGCTCTAATTCCTGTATTCTCTTAGTTACAACCTTAGTTCAGGTTGATTGTTGTAATGAGATGAGGCACTTGCAAGTCACGCTGTGGTTATCAATAGGAGTTTTATTTTGCCCCAACACAGTAAGAATATGATAAAAATTCAAGTCATTTCTCAATTGATAAAAAGACAAAGGATATGAACAGGCAGTTTTTAGAGGAAGAAATTAAAGGTATCTATAGTCATATGAAAAAAATGCTCTAAATCACTGTTGATTAAAGAGATACAAATCAAAACAGCTCTGAGGTACCACATCATATCTATCAGATTGGCTAACATGACAAAACAGGAAAAGGATAAATGTTGGAGAAGATGAGGAAAAATTGAAACACTAATGCATTGTTGGTGGAGTTGTGAACTGATCCAACCATTCTGGAGAACAATTTGGGACTATGCCCAAAGGGCTACAAAACTGTGCATACCCTTTGACCCAGCAATACCACTTCTAGGTCTATATCCCAAAGAGATCATAAAAACAGGAAAAGGACCTACATGTACAAAAATATTTATAGCAATTCTTTTTGTGGTGGCAAAGAATTGAAAAGTGAGGGGAGGTCCATCAACTAGGGAATGGCTAAATAAGTTGTGGTATATGAATTTAATGGAATATTATTGTGCTGTAAGAAATGATGAGCAGGCAAACTTCAGAAAAACCTGGAAAGACTTATATGAATTGATGCTGAGTGAAATGAGCAGAACCAGGAGAACATTGTACACGGTAACAGCCAGATTGTTTGATGACTGACTTTGATAGACTTAACTCTTCTCAGCAATGCAAGAATCTAAGACAACTCCAAAAGACATTCATGATGGAACATGCTATCCACTTCCAGAGAAAGAAGTTTGGAGTCTGAATGCAGATGGAAGCATACTATTTGCTCTCCTTTTCTTTTTTTTTTTTGTCTCTTCTTTCTTATGGTTCCTCCCATTAGTTCTAATTCTTCTTTACATCATGACCAATGTGAAAATATGTTTAATATGAGTGTGTAAGTAGAGCCTATCTCAGATTGCATGCCATCTTGGGGAAGGGCAAAGAGAGGGAGGGGGAGAAAATTTAAAACTCAGAATCTTATGGAAGTGAGTGTTGAAAACTAAAAATAAATAAATAAGTTATTAAAAAAGAATATGCAACAATAATACAGTGGCATTCAGATTCTGGATACAGCTTCCATGGACCCCACAAGGCTAGTTATCAAGGCAGGAGATAGCGAAGGCCATGGTGGGTGACTCACATGGTTTTCAGAAACTCACCAAGGTCAGGGAACCCAAACCCTTAATGTACCTGGGAAATTGTATGCCATTAGATGACCAGGAAGTTGTATCAAGGAGGTTGGGCCAGTCTAGGGGGCAGTTTTGTCTTTTATTAAGGTTAAGCCTCCCCATGTTGTGGGTGGGAGAAAAGAAGTTGTATTAGGGAAAAATTGGTCTTATAATTCTAGAGAGTCTAAGAAATGGTAGTGAGGCATGGGGGGACAGGTCACGAAAAAAGGCATTTAGATGGGGAATGGTGCATTTGGTTTGAGGAACAGCAAGAAAGCAAATTTGGTGTCTAAAGAATATATGTAGGGCAGTAATATACAGTACAGCAATTTTTATAGATTGGAGCTAGGCTGATTGAGTGTGGTCATTGGATTTTGTGGACAAGAGGGTAGTGGGGCTGGGTGAGACAGGTCATGGGATTAGGTCAAGGGATAGAAAAGTAAGTAGGGTATAGTTTTTGGGTTCAGAAAAGAGTGAAGAAATGCTTCATTTGTCTCTGCTTGGTAAAGACTAGTTTTGAAGTCTTATTTTGTTATGAAAAGGAATTCATTTCTCTCCTCTGAATCTCCCACATGGGTGGTTTTTGGAATCTCAAGGCATACCTGAATCATGGTCCCTTATACTCAGCGTTTGAGCTTTTTTTGCTCCCTCTTAAAAATATTCCAGTTTGGAAGCTGGAACTAAATAGAAAATAAAGCTGTTAGAATTTGACTTATTCTTTTACACACACACACACACACACACACACACACACACACACAGAGTCTTTATTTTTTTGGTAAACACTTTGCTTTTCTGTTTT